TGTGTCAAGAATCCAATTTTTGTCAAATTCTTCTTCAGACACATTCATGACATGCAAACTATTAAATTCAGTAGCAATAGCAGCATTATCAACATCAGAATTGTTCGGGTCTTTTTGTTTCCTTTTCCAATCAAAGCAGTCTTTCTTGAAATGTCCTAACTTTCCACAGTGATAACATTTCTTACCGCTTTTATCTTTAGATTTGGATCTCATTTTAGATTTTCCTCTCCCCTTCTTGTTATGGAAGTTGAATTCTTTCTTTTCAGATCTTCCCCTAACAAATAGACTCTCTTCACGAGAATGAATTCTGTTTTCTCTTTTTAATTCAAGTTCTCTTGATTTTAAAGCATCAGAAACAATAGCTTGAGTGAGAGTGTCCCTACCATACTTTATGGCATTTTTCATTTCTCTGTAAGATTTGGGCAAAGAGTTTAGCAATATGACAGCTAAATCCTCATCATCAAATGTTTTATCATTATGAGCTAGACTCTTAACAATTATGCTAAAGTCACTCAAATTCCCCTCGACATCCTTCCCCGGGTCCATCTTAAAACTAAACAACTTCTCCAACAGGTATATTTTGTTAGGTAAAGTTTTAATTAAAAACAGGGCATCTAAAGCAATCCACAAAGCTCTAGCAGTTTTAGCACTATCAACTTGTCTCACAATATTGTCAGATAGATGCAAAATTATATAACTGTAAGCAATTTCATTCATGTCTTCAATTTCAGTTGTTTTAGCTTTTAACTCATCAGAAAATGTAGCGGGATCATCAAGAGCTTTAGCAACTCTCTGTTGGACCAAAATGGCCCTCATTTTCTGTTTCCATATCGAGTAATCCCCCTTGCCATCGAATTGCGATAATTCGACCCTCGAACCCATTATAGATTCTATAAAAGAGTGGCATGTACTCGTGGACACAACAAAAAAGGTTTTGAAAAATTCTTTTCCAGATGATCAATATAAAATTGAGTACCGAGTTTTAAAAAAACAATTTTTAGAAATGAAGCACAACAGTGAAATAATCCGTTCATGAAACACAGGTATATAAAGCAGGTAAATATGCTTCCAGATTACAAATTAATCACAAGAATTCAATCAACAGAATTCACAAATAAGCAACCAAGCAATAACCATGCATAAACCGGTAAGGATACCAAACCTAACCTAACGGAGAGTTTGGAATAATCTTACCAAACTACTGTTGACAAACAGTAAATATACCACCAAGTTTTTGAACCAAATTGCCGTAGACGTCAAGGTAGGGGCAAAATCGTCCAACTTTTTCTGTAAAATCTGAAACAGAAAACAAACGACATCAGTGCGTTCAGGACGTCAAAATAAGTAAACTGCCCGAAAAAAGCTCGCCGGAGGTCCGGCCACGCGCTGCCGCCTGAGCCGCCGCCGTCGGTCACGCGCCCCACCACAGGGTGCGCCTCCTCCTGCTGGTCATGGTTCCATGGTCCATTTCGTCGGAAAGTCAATAGGTTGGCCGGAAATCAAGTTTTTTAAGATTCGGTTAAAAATGGTAATGGCGATTTCTTGCTTGTTTTTGATCGATTTTGGACTAATATCACTCCTCCTAGCTCTGATACCAGTTTGTTGGGGATCCTAGGAGTTCAATCAACCAAAACAACAATCAACAAACAAGATTCAAGGCAAAAACAAGAAAAAACGGGAATGGAAAAATACAACCCCTTTTTGGCCGAAATCTGTCCAGCTTTCCTTCCTCGTTTCAGCAGCTTCTTCTTCGATTTATGGGTGTTTTTCCAGGCTTAGGAACAGCCCCATGCTATGCCAATTGTCTTCCAAAGAGAGAGGGGAAAAACCAATGAAGAACCACCACCTTTTTCTATGAAAAAACCGAGAGCTCCTACTGCTGGGAATAATAGAGACCGAGAGCTGCCCCCTTTATTTGAAAATGGTAGAGAGTACATATGAAGGGGTAGGAAGGAAGACCATGCCTCTGCCAAAACATGGGAAGACCTTAATGTGTCAACCTCACTCCCATCAAGTCACAACATTGGGTGGGGTTAGGTGAACCATATCCTCACATATGGGATATGAACAATAATACAGGCACATAATTTTTTGATAGAAAAATCTTACAAACAACTCATGGTGCGACATAATTGGAAATGGGAAAAAAAGGCAAAAACAATCCGATCATGTTTGTCACATCAGTTTCGATACAAGCTTTGTTAAAGTTTTCCTATATTCATGACTTTGTTGATGGGATATAATGTAGATATTGAAAAATTAGAAAAACAGAAAATGAGATATTGATAACAAGTTAATCTTACTCTTCTTCATTATTAGTATATCAATATTAGTGATGTGTCAATGAATCATTGGGTGGATAACCAATTTTGAACAGCAGACAATTCATTGACACATTATTTTACAACTTTGAGCACACGTAGCAGTGAGAGAAAAGTTGAATATATTTATTTAAAGTGAGGTGTCAATGAATTATTGGGTGGACAGCAAATTACATAGTAATTTGGGATCATAGATCTCAACTCCTAGTATACATCCTTTTAGATTACCTGAAGGAAATTTTTATCATTATATCATATTAAATGGATAAATACAATTGCAATAAATATACCGGAAGGAAGATAAATAGTTGTCAACATCTAAATCCATTGAAATTAGTACAAATTCAAAACCAAGAGAGTAGAAACTATCCATCCAAATTACAAAAATCTACAATCCAATGCATAAATCTGATAATTGTATATAAAGCAATTATCAGGGATTGATAATGATACAGATGATCTACGCTTGTGAAGATGCTCAAATCATCTTCCGAAGTTCTCTTATATTCATGGGTTGTGAAGTTAGACACCACCTTCAGATTGACTTAAAAGCATACTTACTGCTTTGTCAATTCTTTTCTAGCTGTAGACGGATAATATTTCTACACAATGAAGCCATTTCAGTCTAGCATACTATCCAATGAAGCCATTTAAGTCGAGCAAACATCTCAAAGTCGGAGTGTGAGATCTGGCGTAGATTCATCTCCGTCCAAAGATATATTAGTCTCGACAAAATTCACATTTGAAGATCCAACCTGTAAAAATAATGGCTGAGAAATATTTTCAGTAGATAGCTGATGAAAACTACCAGGCCACAACATCTTTGAATTATCATCCTCAATGTATATAGGCTGACTTGGGTAGCCGGTTTCAAATCTTGGGGTGGCTCTAGACTCAAGTGGCCTCAGTGGTGGCAAAAAGCCGTGATGCACTGAAGAATGTTCTTTAATTTCTAGACATCGGGATAGAGACCCATGCAAAGGCAGAGTTGCTACGCTAGTACACCTATCGGAAAAAATACCCATTTGTGTACCCCTTTTAGCCATATTTCTTTCTCGCTTATGTGCATTCTGGTGACCCCCAAGTGCCTGTGAACTGAAAAACTTACGTTGGCAGAAATTGCACGAAAAGGATCGTGAAGGAACAACTTTTTTAGTTTGGGTTGTGGGTTCGTCCCAACTTCCACTTCTGTTAGATATCAGAAATCCAATGGATTTGTTGTAGTCCAACTGATTCTTGTTTGATCTGAAGTTGAGAGATAAGTCGAGGGAGGTGGATTCTGAATTCAATTGAATGTTTACTGGATTCAATTCATGCCTGAAGTCAGTAAGTCTATCTTGGATGTATATGTTGGAAGCAACTTGGCTACTGACATCTGAATCATTCTCTGTGGAGGGCTCTGCTTCAAGATCAAAGTTTTGGGATTTCATATTTCTGTGGGATTTTTAGAGGCACTATGATCAATTCATATATGTTGTCAATAAGAAAAAACCAGCATGCAGCATTCCGAGTGCCAGCCAACAGCTTGAAGCTGATTTATTCTTCCCTGCATTTACTGAATATTTAAGATGTAATTGAGGGAAAAAGCAGGAGTAAAAACTATAAATATAAAGATCACAATCTGTAGGTCCAGTGATGCAATAATCACTTCACTCTGAATCAAAAGCAATGATTTTGAGATAACATAAAATAGCTCAAACATGGAGACATCTTCATTACTAAAATATTTCCCGCTCCACTACATTTTGAGGGCAATCATCACTTTGAGAACATAATTGCTGTTGCTCGGTATTTACAAAATCAGTTGATCATTGCTGTCACTAATAAATGCCTAAACCTTCATACAGTAAATATGATTAGTTAATTTCTTCCACATACGTAGCCATGAGAAAGTCGTCTTGTTTTTGAAGTTTCTAGTCTCCAATTGACACCTCTCATGAAGTTACTTTACAAGATAAAACAACCTCCAACTTGACATAAAGTAGCTTATTGCTTCTAATTATACTTGTAAAAATAATACCACCCAATCAACCGATTGCTTAAATTCAGTTCTATTAAATGAAATCCTGGATGAGGAAATTAATATGATAAGTTAAGTCTGATAAATCTTTGCTCTGAACTGATTTTCTCCTTAACGATAAGAGTTAACTGGACACAGGAAGAAATTATAGATAGTTAGGCACACCAAATCAATGTAATTCTTAAGAATTTATCTTTCAATAATTTCAGTACTTCTTTTCCATTCAATTAACAAAATTATAGATAGGGTAACTTTATTTAATAACTCAAAAGAATTCAGAGATGAAGCAATAACCAGATAATGAAAGAGTAAGAAGAACCTTCTAATGAAGCAAGATGCACAACGTAATGAAATTAAGTCAACCAAAATTGCCATATCTGAAGCTCAAATTGCTTAAAGTTATAAATGGGAGGAACAGGATAAATGCACACCACAGAGAAAATTCTAGTTCCTCCATATTTATGATATAGCACATGGATTTCAGGAGTCAAAAATCAATTCCAAAGAGTGGTTCTTTTATTGTTGGAAATTAAGCCAAGAGTTTAGTGCATATTAGAAATCTTAGGAGGCAATAGTAACACGGTTTGTCTACTAAATTTTGAGACCGTCTAAAAATATGACTTCCTTTTTTGTAACTTAGCTCTATGGATTAAAATTCTGATTCTGATATCCAAAATTGAATATGAAGAAAACTTTAGGGTAAGTTTATATCATAGACATAATCCAAATAGCTCTCTAGTAGTTAAAAGTTCGTAACTTCAACATCTGAAACCGCCTGCAGGAGAGCAAATATTAGTCTTATTATGTCTTTAACTTAGTGATTAATGATGAAGCGAAAATCATCCCGAGATATCACGCTGGTTTTATAATTGCTAAAAAATATGCAAACAGGTATCAGGCAAATCATTTCAAGGAAAAAAAGACAAGAAAAGAGCTAACAACACATCATGATCGTTCTAGACTATGTTTTATAGACTAATTTCAATGAAATTCCATACCCCAATAAAAAGATAAAAAGAAAGAAAAGAGAATACTAGGAAATCTGCACGTGCAGAGATAACTAACCAGAAAGAAAATAGCAGAAATGCTCTTTGAGTAGAGCAGTATCAGTACTTCATCAGACGGAAGTGATTCTTACTAGTGAATCACAGAAAAATCCCAATTGAGAATTGAAAGAAGCAAAGAAAAGGGAATGCTGAGAAAGGGTGTAAAAACAAAGGTATGAAGAGAGTGGAAAGGACAATGGTGGAGGCGTCAGAGAAGTCAGAAAAGGTAGTGTTGGCCTGTTAAGGTAATAGTTTAAGACTAAGAAAAGGGAATGACATCATCTCAACAAATAACCTCCCTGTTTGTTAATTTCTGGGTTCTTCCCAAAAAGAAACCACTGTTTCAAAAACCATCATTAGTTAAAACGACACAAAAAGTATTATAAACAAGATTCTAACTTGTTTTTCTTCTCAACTTTCTTGATCAAATATTCGATGTGTAGTCGACTTGATGCATAGGGAATGGCATGCACTTAGACTCAGCGATCACCATTAACTTTCTGAATGTTCCCATAATGCTACATTCATCTATGCCATGCAAACAGGAAACAGATTCCCATCATAATATACCAATTCTTGCTGTTTTTGAGTATTCAATAAGAACCCTTTTTCCAGTCTAGACATAATAGCGAGCACATTGCCCGCGATCAGGCATACTTGTGCAGACAAAAACACGAACCCATTTTATTATTCCTAATTGTCAACTGTGGCTGAGACGCGGCTCTTTGTCTCTACCTCGTTATCACTTTTTTGGTCCCCCACCACCAGGCAACCACGTTCCCATTCACATTATATGATTTTGTAATAACAAAGATAATTTAGTATAATTATAGGGTTTAATTAAAAATTATGGAATAATTGTACCACCGTGCTAGTGCAATAGCTTTACATATTTACATGACTTTATTGCTTTATTTGTGGTTAATTAATTAAAAGCATGTGGCTTATCTGCTAATTATTTCAAAAGTATATGCCTAGATCATTTGGATACTAGGTATTAGATTCTTCAACTTGTGGGGGATAATGCTAGTTTGTCTTTTTAGATGTTTGACGCCTCGTGTCTTTTTCAAATTTTATTAGGGATGGAAAAAACTCTCGAATCGAACCGATCGAATCGAACCCGACGATTTTTCTCAAGTTAAATATCCGAACAGGAATTTGAATTGAAAATCGACGGGTAGGGTTCGATTCTCGGTTCTAGACCAAGAACCGAATTATCAAATCTTCCTAATTTTTTTTTCATATTGAATAAATCAAATTATTTAAATTTTTTCAAAACAAATTAACTAATTAGGTGATTGATTGATACTCCATCTCCCAAGCACTAGCCTAGCTTGACCAAATCCAACCAATTTCTAAATCCAATTTGTTTGCCCAATTATTTGTTTCGTTTCTAATTTTTTAATTTTTAGCCCAACTGCCCATTTTTATTCTTCCGTTTCTTAGCCCAACATCCAAGCGATCCAACCCATTAATGACTAACCCTAAATAAATTACACACATTATCACCTACACATAACACATCTGACCTGCCAAAACCCAAATAGAAGTATAGAACATGTGGAGGACCTGTTGTGCTACATTATATTGACATGTCCTGGATCCATGAAATATTGTTTTGGAAAGTTGGCCAAGGTCGACATGAGGAGGACCTGTTGTGCTACAACAGCATCTTGAAGGTCATTACTAAAATTACGATTGAATATGTCATTAGTTGTATTTATGTAATGTTATTATAAATGTTAAAAATTTTAATTATAGTACGGAACCGAACCGAACCGAACTAAACGGTTCCATAATTATATTTGGACCCGATAGCTCCATTTACTAAATACCCTAAAATTTTTGGTTTGGTTCGGTTCTCCATGAAACCGAACCAAACCAATCCGCGTCTAGGTCTAAATTTTATTATTTATTTTCAACGTAGCAGGTAAAGATTTTATAGAAATTTACTATCGATGAACTATGGATAAACTAAAACATAAGATATTTATATTTGATAGAAAATTAAGTTCATGTCTGCAAATTGAATTTTTAGTAGATTCTGATAAAATACATGATTAAAAAGTTGATAAAAGATGTGAATCCATAAAATAAGTGATTCAAATTGAATAAGAGGAAAAATGAGTTTTCAAAATTGAGGAGTCAGAAATGGACTAGGTTTTCATATCTATAAATAGTCAAATTTCATTGTCAACTATACATTATATCATGTTCTAAATGGCGCCACAAATGCGCGCCTTGGTGCCGCCAATTCGTAATGCTTGGCGAAAACGCCAAGCCAAGTGGCTTGGCGCCTTATTTGGCAGTCAATAGCAATTGTTGACCATTAAGGCACGCCTAGGCACAACTATGTGCACATTATCATCCTTTTTTATTTTATTTTTTTATTTTGTTTTGTTAAAAAATAATTAATGGTTGGATTGTAGAGGGTTGTGATGATGAGGACGAGTATGATGGGGGTAGAAAATGATATCTTACAACCTTTGAGAGGTACTAAAAATGCTCAAAATGAAATAAGAGAGCCCGACGGAGAGGATTTTGTATCGGAAGACACAGAGGACAAATTAGATGAAGAAGAGGTTATTGAATTGGAATCTGATAAAGAGTTATATAAGATTTAAGTTTCTATGCTACTTATTTACTATTTTGTATTTAAATTTGAAATTTATTTTTTTTGTTAGAAACTTTGAAAAAAATGTATGAAGTTCCTATGAATCTATTTTAAATATTTAGTAAGTATTATTTTTAATTATTAAATATTTTTTGATTTATTAAAAATTAAAACAATATTAAAATAAGAAAACGTCTTTTTACGCTTTTTTACACCTGAGTCTGGCCTAAGCTTGCGTAGCCCATAACTTGACCTCAACGCATTGCCACGCATTACGTCATTTGGAACATTGCATTATATAGACATACAAGTACATCAATGCATTTACTATTTGTTTCTATCTATTTATAAATTAAGTCGTTCATAAATTCTTCTTAAAAGGAGGCTAAATTGCACCGTATACCCTGCTCCCAACAAAAGGTAATAGTTGAAAACAGAGAAGTTGAAATCAGTAGCCACTTCTATAAATTATAACTGCACAATAAATAAATAAATAAATAAATAAATTGAAAAAAAAATTGAAAAAAGGAAGAATTATTGAAAGATGTTTGAAGATGGTATAAAAGGAATTCTTGGTTTTATTTTCATTTTCTGAAAATTTATCAATTTTCTTTTAGATAAATAAAACTTGAAATGGTTATTATTGGATCTGGCCTTTTATTTGTTTTTTCAATTTTTATTTTCAAAATTAAAGATCCGCAGATGCATCCCCTCTAGTACCTTTATGAGGGATTATTCAATCCATATGGCAGAGTCCATACCTTGGCTCATCCATGGATTCGTCAGATTCACAAGCAAAGATAGGAGTCTCATATAGATATTAGAATATAATATATTGTTTTACCTTGAGTAGGACTCTCCTTATATAAACTCTGAAATAGGTTAACGTGTCAATGAAGTCATTTTGCATGCTCAATTGGTATCAAGATTCAACTTAAGTCTCTCTCATGTAGAGGTCAAGAGTTCAAATCTTGGGGGACACGAAGAAAAGCCGTGAAGGATAAATGGGCGCATGGCCCACCTAAAGCGGACAGTACGTAAGCTAACGGCTTGGGTGAGAGGTCCGGGTCGTTAAAAAAAATATTGTTCTTGAAGAGTTTAGAACACAGAACCTCCAATTCAATAGTAAAAGGGCTAACCAACTGAGCTACTAAAGGGGTTATGAAGATTAGATAATCATTTTACATGCTTCAATTGTGAGGGGTTTGTTAATTTGTCTTATCTAACATTGATCTTGTACATCGCTTTTAGTTTCTTGATCGAGGAGAGAAGCCCCCTCGCTCTCGAGGAGAGGTTCATCGGTCGAGAGTGATATTTATGTACTTCGTAGTCTGATAAGTCACATGATACTAAAATATGATACCATTTACATCTTCATTTACACAGCAGGAAAAAAGTATCAATACCTATTCTTATGGCATTAGTACCTATATCAAAATTAACGGTGCCAATTGGGAGAACTTTTATCTAGTATCACCTATTTCTATAGTACTTTCAAACAGTAGGTAGATAATAGGAGTGTAACATTTTATTTCAATGAGGTACACTCAAATTTGAACCACTTGTAAAGAGGCATAGTTGCTAAGTAGTATCTTTTGCATGTAACTTGCCTTACTATTGTGTTTAAATTGTAGCAGTAAAATAGTTGTTGATGTTACAAAAGTGAACCCAAAATCGACACCAAGTATAGGTTACAGATTCAAGACCATAGCATCAAGATCTCATAGATTTTGGGCTCAGATCCACCTTGTACCCGTCTGTACAAAGGATAAACTCACAAACCACAACCCCTAGAACTCGACACAAAAATGGTTGCTTCAATGGTCCGAAAGACTCTCCAAGAAACCAACAGAAAACTCTTCATAACTCAAAATCAAATGATCACCAAGATTTTACATGCACAGAACCATCAGAAAACCAAGGGTTTACTAGTTAAAGGGAGAGTTCCACCTAGAAGGAGAAGAGGTAGAGACATAAAGTCTCGAAGAGAAGAAACCCAGAAGATTCTACAGAAGACTCACGAAGAGGCACAAGGGACTAAAAAATTAGGGTAAAAAAATCTCAGATCTTATATTTATATTAATAAGTCATCATCGTAGATGTTAGGTTTAGAAGATCAAATGGACCAGAGCAACACACTTGTATCAAAGGATATTAGGTCGGGTTAAGAGTCCATCACAATGCGTTATTGGGTAAGGGCTTAGTAGTATATGTTGGATCATCTATTTTTATCATCATAGCCCAAATGGGTTCGTTTGTCAAAAAATAATTTGGCATCACAGCCCAATAAATCTCCCCCCCTGATGCTAATGATAAAAAAGAAAAAGAAAAACATAAAGACAAAGAAAATATAACAATAGGTTTCTCAAGCAATTGATATAATTCCTTTCAGATCATCAGCACCAAGCCATATACACCTGCACCAACAAAAAATTTACCCAATATCAATTTTTAAAAATTGCAAACATGACTTAAACTTATTTAGAGGAAGTACCTTAGTACTCATATCAACGGGATTAAACTGAGTAGGGATTTTCTCAAGCAAAATAGATTCTTTTTGTACAATATCTCTTATAAAATGAATTCTTATATATATGTCTTTTGTTCTTTCATGAAAAAATTGGATTTTTACATAAATGTATGGCACTTTGACTGTTCGAATATAAAACAACAGGATCAACAGATTCATTTACCTCATTTAGGAGACCTTTCAGCCATAAGGCCTCTTTAATGGCCTTGGTTGCAGCCACATATTCAGCCTGTAGTTGATAAGGCTATAATAGATTGCAATTGAGACTTCTAATTAATACAAGTATCACATAAAGTAAACATATAGGCTGTAGTTGACTTTCTATCATCTCTATCACCGGCATAATCAGAATCTACATATCCCTTTAATCTAACTCACTCCTTATTAGGTCTAAAACATAAGCCTAAGTCTGCTGAGCCTTTCAAGTACCTTAATAACCATTTCATTGCATTGCAATGTTCGGGGCCAGGGTTGGACATAAATCTACTTAAGGTACTTATAGCATGTGCAACATCGGGTTGTGTGCAA